CCGGAGGCTACCGTGACGGCCCCCCCCCCGGAGGTTTCCTGGTCGGGGGCCCTCGGGGGGGCCCTCTCGGGGCCCTCCAGGCCTTCCAATGCAATCTCGAAGGGCCTCAAGAGGGCTCCAAGAGAGCCTCAGGAGGGCCTCCAAATTTCAAATATATTGACAGACTTTGAAGCTCTCTTGGAACCGTCTTGAGCCCGCTTGAAGCCCTCCGGATCGCACTGGAAGGCCCTGGAGGTCCCGGGCAATGCCCCAAGAGGGCCCCTAGAGGGCCTCAAGACGGCCCTCGGCGAGCCCCACGAGGGCCCCAAGGGGGCCCAAGAGATACCCAAGAGGGCCTCTTGTGCACGACCACTTGCGTAATTATATGAACCTTGCTGTCCATGACCACTCTCGTATTCGACTGCTATTGTATATCACCCCTCCTTCCTGGCTCATCCCTTCGCCCTCATCGCTCCCCCTGATGATCAGGGCAAGTCGCCTGGTGATTTTTTGGACGGGCTGGCGGGGATACGCGGAGCGCCAACAATTTCTGGAAGCCTGCCTGAGGGCTCAAGGGAGCCCCAAGTGGGCCCCGTGAGGCCCACAAGAGGACCTCGGGAGAGCCCCGCCTGGACCCCAAGAAAATCCAAAGTTAGGACGCGCGCTGCATCCTGATTCAGGAATGTCTCGGGGTCCACTTGATGCCCTGTGGGGGCATTCTCCGGGACTTCCTGAAACCCGCCCGAAGCCGGAGGGAGCCCGTGTCGCCGAGAACTCGCTAATACGGCTTTAATAAAATCTAGTTACCCCCCAAGAGGGCCCAAATCCAATATTCAAAATGCTTTTTGGCTCTGGGCCATCTGGGGATCCATCCGGGGTCCTCCTGGAGCCCCCCTGGGGGTCTCCCCAAGGCCCACCCACAGCCCCCTCGAACCCATTGAGGGCCCCAAAGAACGCCCCAGAGGGCACCCATCAGAAGGGGTCCAAATACATGTATGTTTGGAGGGCCCGCATCAGGATGCATGGTGCAACATGAGTTTGGGCCGTTGCGTGGGCCACGCCGGTGCCCTCTTGGAGCCGTCTTGGGCCGCGCTGGGGCTGTCCTGAAGCCCCGAGGATGCCCCGAGAGAACCCCGAGAGAGTCCCAAGGAGGCTCCTGCAAGCGACATTTGCATGCACACTTTTACGTCGTATTGTTTCCGCGTGCTCCCTTGAAGCAAGAGGGTAAGGTTTTCCTCGATGTGGCATGCATTGCCGTTTGCCCCACGGCGCGGCGTCGTGCTCAACAACAACGTCCCCCGCCATGCCATTGCGGTTGCATGATGCACCGTGCACCTTGACCTGGGGCCCACTGGGGGTCGGCTTGGAGCCCTCTCGGAGCTCTTTTGGGGGCCTCAGAAGACCTTTTTTTCGGAGCCTCGTTGCGGCTTCGGGGGGGGGGGCCTCGCCCAGCTCGCTCGAGGGAAACCGCGAGCTCCGGAGTCCGACCGCCAGCATCAATCGTCTGGCAACCCCCGCATATCCTAACATTCTCGGTAACCTAGGAAAGCGGGGCCCCGGGCGTCAGCCGAAATCGACGGCGAGTTGTTGTCAAATCCCTGCAATTTCCGCGAGGGGCCACTGTCGAGCATTGATTCTGAGACAACACAAAACGCACGCGAGTGGTTAAGATGATCGAGTCAACAGTAGCACCGAAAAGCGTCAGCGGGCAATCATATGTTTCCTCTAGTTGCGAAGCCGTTCGCGCCCCAAGATGCAGATGCGGTGGTGCCGCATCTGAAAACATTGTAGACGCACGCGCAAGAATGGCAGCGATGCTCCCATTGCTCCTTCGCCAACTCCGCCAAACAAGCACGCATTCCGACTCGATCGAGGAAGTTGCGCGGCACACTTGCTGCACTTCATGACTTCTGTTTGCGAATTCCTTCTGGGCGGCGCCGGTCGTGCCCCGAGAGCGCTTCGCGCGTGGGCAATTCGTTTTGCTCGAGTCTGCAGCCAACGCACGCGCGGACCGCATTGACTTCGAAAACGCAAAACTCGCTACGCAAGGGCATGGTTTGCTAGGGGTCGGTTTGGCCGCGCCCGATGCGCGAAGAGGATTGCACGATCATCCAGTCCGTGCGCACTGCTTCCCGGTAGGTGTGATCGACGCGGCCTGTGCCCTGACCGCGTCTGGCACCGAGTGTGGGCGTTTTCCGTGCTATTCCATGCGCGTTCTGGAATAAGCGATGTTGAGATCGAGGCTGTTGTGCAAATTGGGGCTGCGCCGTGAATGCGCCACCCTCACAATGGAAACGCAGGGCGCTTTCAAATTCACAGGTCTCCGAGCCCCCCACCGAATGGGCGCGTCATGCGGAATATATACGATCGCGGCCACCGTCCTCTTGCGTGCCAGTGCTCGGGTGGATGCTTGTGGTTCGCGACGAAGGACCAACGCAACGGTAGGTTCCTTGGCAGTCTTTGGAGAGGAGCGCAAGCAACCGGCTTCCGATGATATGGATCGTTGGAGAGGCAACATCCCAGCAACCAGAAACAAACGTCCCCGTTTACACGGTGCTTCTCTCAAGGTTTCAGGAATTTCGCAAGAGTTCCCTATGCATTGCTAGCGTAACAATATTTCTCCATCCTCCGCCCCTTCTCCTCCCCGTTTCCGCCTCTCCGATCAGCGCCAGCTCGGCCAAGCTCCCTGGACCTTGCGAGCCCACGCCATTGGCTCTTCCCTTCGCCCCTCTCCCCCCCGCCACCTCTGCCCCATGAGCTTGCCATGGCGCCGTGCTTTTGGGCGACCGCAGTGACCTCGCTGTTCCGCGGCGGGGCGTCGTGCCTGGGCTTCGCGCGCGTAGGCCTGGGCCGCGCAAGCCCTGCTCAGGGCCTGCAGCAGCCTTGGCTGCAGAGGTTGTCGTCCCACGCGGGACCTCGTTGCTGACCCACCGACGGCTGGCGGTCCAGCGGCCCGCCGAGGCTGCGCTGGCAGGTTTCGGGCGCGGTGCCCGAACATTTGTCGATGTCTTGCTGAGGACGCCGTCCGTGTTCCGTTTGATGCTGTTCGTGTTTGTTTTCCTGGCTTTTCGGTTCGGTTGCCCAGCGTGGGCGAGGGCATTGGCTGCAATAGGGTCAGGGGCTCCTACGGTGCAAGGTCAAGCCCTGTGGCGTCGCCTTTCGCGGCGATCGTGCTGCACAGCCCGCCGCTATTCGACCTGACCGCGGGCCCGCCTGGGGCTGCAATCGCAGGGGCGCGGGCCAGGTGTCAAACGTTCCTGCGCGGTGCGTGCTCGAATGACGACGGGTGGCGCGCGCAGCATGCTACCCCGCATTGGGTGTCTTCTGCGGGTGGCGCCTGGCGCCGATGGGCACCGTGAGGCTGTGGGGATATCTGCCGCCATCCCCTCGGTTTCGCTCGAACGTGTGCACTTTTTCTCGGCATGAGTTAAAAAGGAACATCCTTGATCATCCTGCGAAAAAAAAACCACGCACGAAATCGACGAAAAGCACAGGGAATGGCCGTCCGAGCGATGCCAGTCCCAGTCCGAGCGATGGCGCAGCCGTGCCAGTCTCCCCCCTTCCCCGTTTGCGCCCTCCCCGTGCCTGTGCCTGCGCGTGCGAGGGAGCCGGCCTTTCTGCCCTGCCTCCGTGCCGCCTGGGTCCCTCCTCCTCCTCCTCCTCCTCCTCTTCCTCCTCCTCCTCCTCCCCCTGGGTCTCCTCCTCCTCCTCCTCCTCCTCCCTCCTCCTCCTCCTCCTCTCCTCCTCCTCCTCCCTCCTCCTCCTCCTCCTCCTCCTCCTCCTCATCCTCCTTCCTCTCCTCCCTCTCCTCCCTCCTCCTCCTCCTCCTCCTCCTCCTCCTCCTCCTCCTCCTCCTCCTCATCCTCCTCCTCCCCTTCTCCTCCTCCTCCCCCCTCCTCCTCCTCTCCTCCTCCTCTCCTCCTCCTCCTCCCCCTCTCCCTCCATCCTCCTCCCCCCTTTCTCCTCCTCCTCCCCCTTCTCCTCCTCCTCCCCCTCCTCCTCCTCCTCTTCCTCCTCCGCCGCCTCCATCTGCCGCGCTTTGCTAAATATTGTTTGTCCATGTTCTTGCAGGGTCAAGGTCAAGGTTTTCCTGCCGTCTGAATCGCCCCTGACGCAAGTGTTTCGGTGGCCGCATAATCGGTGTATCGGGGTCGGGGGCCCGCATGGAGATATTCGATCTCTGCAGCCAGCTCCCGATGCCACAAGACACGGGATGCCTCATCACTGCGCGACAGCGGCAAGCCACATCGAGAAGGCCTTACGGCCGGCGCCGCCGACCCTGAAGGCGGGACCTCCCCCGGGACCCCCGCCGGCGCCCCCCCCCCCGGAGCCGCCGCGGCCCCGGGGGGGGGCGGCGACCCCCCCGCCACGGGCGAGGCTGCCCTTGGGACCTCCGCTCGCGGGACCCGCCGGGAGCCCGGGGGAGGGGGGGCCAGGGAGGGGAGGGGGGGCGTAGTTCCCCTCGTCGGCAAGGGGATCCGCCCCTCGCCCTCCCCTGTCCACAGGGGGGGGGGGACGGGGGGAGGGGAGCGGGAGGAGAGGGGCCTTACGTGCGCCTTGTCCACAGGGGGGGCCACCCCAGGACCTGCCACGACCCCAGGGGAGGGCGGCAATCAGACCCTGAAACCCCCGTACCCCCCCCCTCCCCCCGCACCCCTTCCCTACCTTCTCCCCGTGAGGGAGGAGAACAAGTGCAGGGAATCTGCTTCGCTACTGCGTTTCTGCTCTCTGTTCGTTGTTGAGTCTCCTCGGGATTGGCGACGACGACGACGACGACGACGACGACGACGACGACGACGACGACGGAGACGACGACAGCGTCTCACACACGCCGACGGGTCGGCCGGCATATTTGCAGACGTATCGAGGATGTCCTTGCTTGCGAATGTGCCGTTCGCGTTCCTTGGACTCGAGGCAATCTTGCACCTGGGGCTTTTGCAGCGTTTTGACGTCAGGACGATTCCAGCTGAGCGTCATGGGTCTTGCGTTGGGAGAGGGGCGCATTTCTTAAGCCGCGTCAGGAGGGCGCGGACTACGACGGCGGTGGCACCTTCTTCGGCTCGCTGGGATGCTGGTTGCAGCCAGAGGTGGGTGGCGCCATGGTTTTTCCAGGACGTGTTTTCGTATCTGTTTCTAATTTTTGGGGAAGGGGCGTTGTGTTGCATTGGCCGTCTAGTTCGGATATTAGGGTTAAGTCCACGAGGAGAGGGAGAGAGGGAGCATGAGGAGAAAGGACAAGACAAACGATGCATCAGGGTGCGAGGAGGTGAACGGTGGAACGGAGGGAGGAAGACTGGAATACGGAGGTGGAGTCGGAGGAATAGGAGGATACTTATTCACTGCGTGGAGCTCCCCGTATGTGCATCTATTAGCATGGACCTGTCCGCCGTGAGCGTCCAGGCGCAAGAGTTTTGAACTGTAAGCGGGCCTGTGTATGGACGGCCTTCGTGCGACTTCCTGGGGCCTCCGGGAGACCTCTGGATCCTCGCGTGGCCTCCTGGGGAGGGTTCGTGCTCCAGGAGAGGCCCAATCTGTAGGATCCGACGTAAAACACTTCGGGTTGGAGCCGCCGGAGAGGGTTGAAGCTCGCTGAGGGGCAGCTGACGCGATCCGTGTTCCTGGGGCGACGGAGGAGAGGGTTAATGCTCGTAGGGGAAGAGCAAGCCAGGAGAGGCCCAATCTGTAGGATCCGACGTAAAACACTTCGGGTTGGAGCCGCCAGAGAGGGTTGAAGCTCGCTGAGGGGCAGCTAACGCGATCCGTGTTCCTGGGGCGACGCAGGAGAGGGTTAATGCTCGTAGGGGAAGAGCAAGCCTCGGCAGCCCAATCGTCGGTGAGGTCCAACCTGGGATCTGAGATCTCTGCGAATGGGGCCTTCCGAATTGCCCGTGACGGATCAGGGGGCGCCGGCCGAGCGTGCTGGGATCTGGAGAGCTCCAAGGAGAGGGGCAATCTACAGTGATGGGCCTGTTTTCCACCACCACCACCATAAGTTGGAGGGGGAGGGTGCCCTCCTCCTCCTCCTCCTCCTCCCTCCTCTTCTTCGCCCTCCTCCTCCTCGTCCTCCTCCTCCTCCTCCTTCCCACCTCCAACCTATGGTGGTGGTGGTGGAAAACACGCCCATCATACAGGAGCACGCGTGAAGCCCCAGGGGCTCGTGCGCCCCAGGGCCGGCCCAGTTTATAGGAGCACAGGTAAAGCACTCGGGAGGGGAGCTGGTCCCGTGGCCTTCTGAGGCCTCCTGCTCCTGGGCTTCGTGGGGCCGCCTGTCGCCTCCTGTCGCTTCCTGTGGCCTCCTATGGCCTCCTGTGGCCTCCCGGTGTCTCCTGGTGCTTCCTGGGGCCTCTCCTGGAGCCTCCTGGGGCCTCCTGGTGCCTCCCGTGACTTCCTGGGGACTCCTGTGGTTTCCAGTGGCCTCCTGATGCGTCCTGGGACCTCCTTCAGCCTCCTGGATCCTCCTGGAGCTTGCTGGAGCCTCCTGTGGCTTTCTGAGGAGGGTCCGTGCCCACGAGTCTGGCCAGCAGAACAAGCAAACCGTTCGAGACATCCTCGCAATCTGGGCCCCCTGAGGTTCGACAACCAGCGCCTCGCACGAGACATCTTCCAAATCTGCTCCGAAAGCGGAGGATGTTGAGCTGGTAAACAGGCAAACCGCTCGAGACATCCCCGCCATTTCGGCGCGAACGGAAGCCGTGCACTACCCCCCGGCGGCTCCCGCTTAGAGGTGCTGAAATCCGGGCCTCGCTCGAGACATCCTCAGAATCTGCTCTGAGCGCAGACGAGCCTGGCCCCCCAAACGAGCAAACCGCTCGAGACATCCTCGCCATGGGCCCCCTGGGGTGCGAAAACAGCGCCTCGCACGAGACATCATGTTTCATCCGCATCATTCATCATCTGCATCATCGTCGTCGTCGTCGTCGTCATCATACTCTTACCGTCATCATTCGGCATCATCATACTCTGAGTGAGGAGGTGAGGAGGAGGAAGGAGGTCCGCGCGGTCAAAGTAATACCAAGAACCCCATCTTAGGATGTGGGGAATCAAGTTGACAAGGATCAGTTCGAACACGCTGACAATTAATACTACGAAGGCTGGAAAGGAACCAAGGGAAACGGATGAGGAGCAGCAGCAGAACAAACAAGAGTAGGAGCAGAGGTTTAGTGTCAGATGCTTATGTTTCATGTTGGAGTGCCGGATTAGTTGTCTGTGTATCTCGTTTGTTTCCCTCGGTTGGCAGTCATTGGTTTAGATCCGCCGTGACAGCGCGTGTGCGCTCGTTTCGTTCGAAGGTCGCGTGAGCGTGGAGATGCAACATGCCACTTTTCGAGCATCTTTCACAGCGCCGCCCCGCTGTGTCTACCCGAGAGGCTCGCGCCAGCAGTCCCTCGACCCCCGAAGCGGATGTGTGCGGCTTCCGAGCTCGCGCACGTGCTGCGCGGCACTCCCTGCTGATTCGTCCTCCTCTTCCTCCGCGTCTGTGGCGGGCGCTTCCTGGGGGCCGCTCGGAGGCCCCGGGGGCGGCCCTTGGTCGGGCGACGAAATCTATACATATCCACTGCTCCCTGACCATGCCCATCTTGAACCCAGGAGCTGTGTATGCGCCCTCCTGGCCAAGCCAGGAGGGCGTGGCGTATACACAGCTGCTGTGTTCAGGATGGGCCTGGCCAGGGAGCAGTGGATATGTATAGATTGCGTCGCCCTAAATCCTGGGGGCCGCTCGGAGGCCCCAGGGGCGGCCCTTGGGTCTGCCTCGAAGCCTCGGGGGGGCCTTTCGGGCCAGCAGACTGTCAGGAGAGGAAAAAACACACAGACACAATTAATTCTCGATTCCTCAGAAAATATTGGAAAATATGGGAAGTGGGGAGGAAGACAGAAACCCAGAAAATATGCAAAAAGATGGGGAATCTTTTTATGTGTGTGTATTTATTTGTGTGTCCTGGGGCCCCTTCAGACTGGATGGACATGGTGGGCGCTCGGCCCTCCTCCTTGCTCGGTGCTCCTCCCTTCGCCATCCTCCTGTTCCACCTCCTCCTACTTCTCTTTCTGACCCTCGTCGCCCTCCTGGTCCGCTTTTGAGATCAGCGCGATCATGTTCACCAAGGGGCAATGGCCATTCCTCAGTGAGGACCCTTTTGAACAGCGGATTCATTCAATACGGACCCTGGAGTAAGGATTACGTGTAGACAGGATTCAGCCAGTGAGGCTTCAGTAGACATGATCCTTTGCGTACGGATTCATTTAGCAAGCCATCCTTTGGCACGGCTTCGTTTAGCACGGCATCATTTTGTGAAGATCTCCGTGCCAAGAGTTCTTTCAGCGTTCCTTCAGCGAGGGTTCGTCCTTACATATTACGTCGGCAACGATTCATTGGTAGGGACTCCGCGCTCATATTCCTTGCGGAGGATCCCTGCCATACGGATTCCTTCTATTGAAGGTGCATTCACGATTCGAAGGATACTTTCGATCAAACATCCCGTTAGTAAGGTACCCACCCGTAAAGGTTCCATAATCAGGGTCCATCGGTATGGACTCCTTAGTAAGTGTTCATTGAGGAAGGATCCTTGTAGCAGGGATGAAGTGAGCGATGCTTTCTCTAGTATGGCTCGGTGCGCGACTATTCGCTGAGCGCTAAGAGATCCTCGGTCAGGGTTCCGTAAGATGATTCATTTCAACAGGGGACTCTGTTATTCTTTAATTGTAGGTGCCTCTTTCAGTGAGGATTCCTTTTTGATTCCTTGAACATATGATATGTGCACCGAGGGTTTGCATGTGAAGGCTCGTTACTCAGGACCCCCTCGCAAGGATTCGTTCGGCAAGGATACCTGTTGCACGGACTAGAGGGGATTCCGTTTCTTGTTTCTCTGTCTCGTTTCCTCTCTTTCTATTTCGCTTTTTTTTCTCCACTTTCTGTATGTGTACACATAGATATATAGTAATCTCTCTTTCTCGTCCTCGTTCTCATTGCCGCGCTCTCTCTCTCTCTCTCGCTCTCTCCCTCTCTCTCTCTCTCTCTCTATATATATATGCATCCCCCTCTCGCTTGATACATATATATATCGATGTATAGTTATCTCAATATCACGCTCTATCCCTCTACCTCTTTCTCTGCAGCTAGTGGTATACCTATTCATATGTCGACGTATTGTTGTCCTGAGATAGTGGCTTTATCGTTTGTTCTCACAGTTGTTGCCGCTCTAGCCTTGCAGTGGGAAGCCTGCTGCATTAAGGGTTCGTCAGCAAGGACCTCTGGCGAAGGGACTCCCCATGCAAAGGAAGCCCGAGTCCAGCCAGTGCAGATAGAACAGTATTGCAATATTGGGTTCTTCCTGTTGTGTTCGAGCAGCGCAAAGGGGAATCGTATTGCAATGGAGATTCCGTAGTAAGGATCCCCTTTACGAAGGGCCCCATTCAATGAGGGTTCTTTCGTACATGGTGATGTACTACTACGTGCTCCTCTTGGGAATGATCCTTTCGGTACGTATTCCTACGTAAGGATTCCGCACATTCGGATGTTATCGCAATGGTTAATATACAAGGGCGCTTTAGCCAGTTTTTTGTATTCATTCGACTGGGTTCGTTTTGCAAGGAGTATCTGCATTCGTATTACATCAGTAGGGGGTCGTTCAACAAGGATCTCCTGGCAAGGGATTTCTGTAGTGCTCCTTCAGTGATGGTTCCTCCACATTGGTTCCTTCAGCACCAATTCCCTAGTGAGCACTCGCGTGTAAGCATGTCTTAGACTTGATTCCTTTAGGAAGGTTCCCTTGCAACAGGAATCCGTACGCAAGGAATCCTTGCTAAGGGTCATTGCCTGAAGGAATCCTTCCTAACCGGCCCCTGCCTGAAGGAGTCCTTACTGAGGGTCCCTGCTTGCCTACTCCATCCTCCCCTCCTCCGTCTCCGCCTTCCTCATTCTCCTCCCACCCCCACTCCTCTCCCTCCTCCTCCATCGCCTCCTCCTCCTCCGCCTCCTCCTCCTTCTCCTGCCATTCCGCTGGCGTTTCCGCGGCCTCAGGGTCCCTCCCGCCAGCCGCTCGCCCCCCCTGGAAGCGGGCTGCTAGCCCTTCTCCCTCCCATCGATCCCCCTCCATCCCTGTCAAGCGGGGAGTCCCAGAGGCGAACACCAACCAAACACAAGGAAACCACAACACAAGCAAGCACATCAAATACAGACGGCTGAAAACCAAAACAGCTAAAGAACACCACCCCCTAAAACAAGTATATGTTGTCCACGCCCCACCACCCAACACCCAACACCAGAGTACATACAGTTTTGTTGTAGTAGTTTGTTTTTCCCCAACCCTCCTTGGTTGGGCATTCGTTTTGGATAGAGCGCTGCCCGCGCATCCTCCTCCCGCCTCCCGCCTGAGGCCTCTCGCCTCCAGCCACCCCTCCTTCTTGTCTCCTCTTGACTTGCCTGGGAGCTGCGATCTGCGAAACTGTCGCCACTTCCGAGGGATGCTGGTGGGTCCAGCGGAGGCAGGCACTGCGCGGATCTGAGCGGACCTCCACGTCCTTCGGGGGTTGCGATCTGCGAAAGTGTCGCCACTTTCGAGGGCTGCTGGTGGGTCCAGCGGAGTGAGGCACCGCGCGGATCTGATCGGGACCTCCCCGTCCCTGGGGGGCTGCGATTTGCAAAAATGTCTCCACTTTCGAGGGCTGCTGGTGGGCCCAGCGGAGTGAGGCACCGCGCGGATCCGAGCGGGATCTCCCCGTTCCTGGGGGGCTGCGATCTGCGAGAGTGTCGCCACTTTCGAGGGCTGCTGGTGGGTCCAGCGGAGTGAGGCAACGCGCGGATCTGAGCGGGACCTCCCCGTCCGTGGGGGGCTTCGATCTGCGAGTTTGTCGCCACTTTCGATGGTTGCTGGTGGGCCCAGCGGAGTGAGGCACCGTGCGGATCTGGGCGGGACCTCCCCGTCCCTGGAGGGCTGCGATCTGCGAAACTGTCGCCACTTTCGAGGGCTGCTGGTGGGCCCAGCGGAGTGAGTGAGGCACCGCGCGGATCTGAGCGGTACCTCCCCGTCTTTGGGGGGCTGCGATCTGCGAAAGTGTCGTTATTTCCGAGGGCTGCTGGTGGGCCCAGCGGAGTGAGGCACCGCGCGGATCCGAGCGGGATCTCCCCGTTCCTGGGGGGCTGCGATCTGCGAAAGTGTCGCCACTTTCGAGGGCTGCTGGTGGGTCCAGCGGAGTGAGGCACTGCGCGGACCTGAGCGGACCTCCCCGTCCCTGGGGGGCTGCGATCTGCGAAAGTGTCGCTATTTCCTAGGGCTGCTGGTGGGTCGGTCCAGCGGGGTGAGGCACCGCGCGGATCTGAGCGGGACCTCCCCGTTCTTGCGGGGCTACGATTTGCGAATTTGTCACCACTCTCGAGGGTTGCTGGTGGGCTTGCCACTTTCGAAGGCTGCTGGGGGGTCCACTGGAGTGAGGCACTGCGCAGACCTGAACGGGGCCTCGCCGTCCTTTGGGGCCATGTCATGTTGTTGCTGCCCCGCCGACGTTTCAAGCCCCTTCCCCACCGTCTCCTTTTGGACCTTGCGTCTTCGGGAGTGGGTCAGAGGGAGAGGTCGGAGGAGCGGAACGGAGTTGGAAAGAGGGCCGCAAGCCCGCCATACCCATCCAGTCTGGAGCTCCTTCTGGGGGCCCTCTTGTGGGCCTCCTGGGGGCCCCGGGGGGCATGTCGGAGTCTTTGGGGCCATCTTGTGGGGGTGCGATCCCAGGGTCTGGCGGCGAGCTAGGGGGGGAAGTGAGAAGGAGAAGGCCTTCTCAGAAGGCGGCGGGACTTCTCAGAAGCCCTCGCGCCCTCTGAGAAGTTCTCTTTGTCTTCGGGGAAGGCTTAGAGACCTTCTCAGAAGTCCGGGGGACTTCCGAGCCTTCTGAGAAGGCCCGCCCCTTCTTATTTCCCCCCCTCGCTCGCCGCCGACTGGGGCCCTCCTGAGGGTCCGTCGCTGCCTTCGGGGCCGCTCGGGCTGCCTTGGGGCCCTCTCGGGCCGTCTCCAGGCCCTCTCGAGGGGGCCTCTCGTGGGCCGTCCCGAGCCAGCCTGGCGCGCCGCTTGCTGCGAGACCGCGGAGGTCATTGGTTTCTATGAGTTCTGCCTCGTGGGGCCCTCGCTCGGCCTTCTCGGGCCGCCTGGAGGCCACCTCGGGCGTGCCTGAGGTCCCTCCGGCGCGCGCTGGGGGCCCTTCTGGAGCGATGCTAGGAAGCGCGGCATTTGGGTGGTCGAGGAGGAGGAGGAGGAGGAGGAGGAGGAGGAGGAGGAGGAGACGGAGGGCTGATTCTGAGGCTCCGAGGGCCCCCCGAGGTGTTGGCGAGCTCGTGCTTCCCCCTCCCTCCCCTCCAGCGGGGTTCTGGACCCCCACGGGGGGGGACTATCTCTAGGAGGCCTATGTTGTCACCCTCTGGCGGGGCTGGGACGCGGTTGAACCCGTTCCAGAGCGTCCGGACTGCTCGGAGAGCGCTCCAGACCGCTCAGCGAAGGCCGCGGCGCCCGAGACATCCTCCAGGGCCGCCGGATCTCAGAGATTCTCTGGGGAGGAGGAGGAGGAGGAGGAGGAGGAGGAGGGAGGAGGAGGAGGAGGAGGAGGAGGAGGGAGGAGGAGGAGGAGGGAGGGGAAGGAGGAGGGGGAGGAGGGGGGGAGGAGGAGGGGGGAGGAGGAGGAGGAGGAGGAGGGAGGAGGAGGAGGAGGAGGAGGAGGAGGAGGGGAGGAGGAGGAGGAGGAGGGGCGGGAGGCCCCAGGACAGGGAGGAGGAGGAGGAGGAGGAGGAGGAGGAGGGGGAGGAGGAGGAGGAGGAGGAGGAGGAGGAGGAGGAGGCGGAGGAGGCCCCCAGGACAGCCCAACCTTGCCGGCTGTGCAGGTCCGCGGGAGGGGCGGGCGCGGGCATGTACAGGGCTGCCCACAGCGCGAGGGTTAGGTTCTCGGCCGGCCCCTTCTTCTTCTTCTTCTTCTTATTCTTCTTCTTCTTCTTCTTCTTCTTCTTCTTCTTCTTCTTCTTCTTCTTCTTCTTCTTCTTCCCCCCTTCCCCCCCCCGGATAACCCGGGTTATCGCCGATTCCCAAAAAGCGGTCTCCAGAGGCCACCTCACACACTCCGCAAGGGAGATCACCCGCGGGAGGAGACTCGCGCCTTTGCCCCGAGCGCCGCAGGAGGAGGAGGAGGACCGAGAGGGCAATTGTCGGACGTCGGTAGGCCTCCTACCCTGACACGTCGGTTAGCGAATTGGTCGTTGTCGGTTCGCGAGAGGGCGTCGCGGCCGTCATTTTTGCGGGTCCAGGTCCGTCGGTTTCGGTCCTAGGCCGTTTTCCTTAAAGGGTGGTTTACTAAGGGAGTTTTGCCCACCGCCGAAATTGGGAGAGCAGTCGCTGCAGCAGTTGGGTCTCGCCGAGCGTTGTCACCGCAGGCACCCGGGAGAGCATCTGTGGGTCGTGCTGGGCAGTGGAACTGGGAGGGCAATGCTTGTCACCGCAATGGGCGAGCAATCGGTTCGTGCTGACCTCGGCCAGAACCTGACTCGGCCAGGGCCAGTCAGGCTGCCGGCAGTTGCTCTGCCCCTGAACGCTTCGGTTGCACATGCGCTCCACGAGGACGATGACGAGGATGAGGATGAGAAGTACGGAGATGAGGAGGGTTGGGAGGATGGCCCCGTAGCCATTTGGGCTCAAATATCCACTCTTGGTGAGCTCTTCGGCGCTCTTGGGGCCTCCTTGGCCTCCTCCTGGGGTTCTCTGGGGCCATCCGAATCAAAACGAGGAGGCAATCATCAGTTGCTTCCCGATGCTTTTGAATGATTGGGGCTTCTGGGGGGCCTCCTGGAGGGCCCCTCGGGGCGCGTTCGGGCCTCCTCGGGCGCCTCTTGGGTTGGGCAGTCTTCAGCCACTCCTGTGCCGTCTTGGGGTCCCATTCGGCTTCGACGCGCACCCCCCCCTGGAGGCCCCCATCGGCCCACACAGCCGGCCTCGGAGGAGGAGGAGGAGGAGGCGGAGGAGGAGGCGGAGGAGGAGGAGGAGGAGGAGGAGGAGGAGGAGGCGGAGGAAGAGGAGGAGGAGGAGGCGGAAGAGGAGGAGGGGAGGAGGAGGAGGAGGAGGAGAAGAGGGAGGAGGCGGAGGAGGAGGAGGAGGAGGAGGAGGAGGAGGAGGAGGAGGGGTTCACGCCGCGCGCGCGCCGCGCCGCGCCCCGTCGGGCCTCGGTGCTTCGCTCGGCCGCCGTGCTCCTCCGCCGGCGGTGCCTCTCCTGCGGCGCCCTCGCTCGCTCGCTCGCCCCCTTCTCGCGGGCCCTTCGCGCGGTCCCGCTGCCGCCTGGAAGCTTCGGGGGCAAGGATACTTTTTTGATCCGCAGGGCGAGGGCGAACCTCTTCCGCTGAAAGCTCCGCGCTAATCTGGACGCCCGAAATGGGTATCGAAAGAGTGGGCACGATGCCCAACAGCAGTTCCTGTTCAATTTGGACAGGATTCGCTGTCCACGCCGCCGCGGCCTGTGTCCATTCGAGACAGAAGGTCGCCTGCCCAACAGCGGCCGCTGTTGGTTTGGGACAACATTTGTTGTTGGGCATTGTGCCCATTCTTTCGGTACCCATTTCGGGTGTCCAAAGCTAAGGGGGCAAGGGTACACGCCGCTCGTTGAGAGTAGGTATTTTTGGAGTCCCAGGCTCCAATCTACTTTAAGGGCCTTCCTACTCGAATGGTCGAGTGGCTTCTTCTCTTCCTTCCTCTTTCCTCGGGCGGGCGGAGGCCCGATCTACTTTCAACGCCTGCCTACTTCATGTCTGCCTACTTCTTCCGACCGACGGGTAGGGGGGATGGTCTTATGTCGGGCCTGCCCCTCTACAGGGGGGATATAGGAAAAGATAGTCAAGAAATAGCCTTGGAGACGATCTCTTTTATCATTTGTTGACTGTCTTGGGCTATTTTTCGGGTAATTTCTGTTTTTTCGTCCAAATGCCGCCTGTAGGGGGACATGCCCAACCTAAGGATAGGCATAGAGGGGGATGCATCGACCCCCAATCCCCCATGGATCGCCGATGCAGGGGCCCGACCTCCCCAACCTGCCCAGGGAGTTCCGGATTTGCTATCGGGGGCCTATCGCCCTCTTTCGTTCGCCCCCTTCTCGGGCCCTCGCTTTCGGTAGCAAATCATGAGAACCTTGTATGCCTTCGCAATTCTGTCTTTCGAGTGCACTCGCGTCGATACAGCGTCTGGTAATCGATGAGATGACGCCGACTGAGCGTCGATGATCGCCGATTCAGCGTCGGCCAGCGTCGATCAGCGCTAATCTGCGAGAGCCAACAAGATGGTATGGGAGGCTCCTATGAGTTGCCGCGGAACTCGCTCCGGCCCCGCTGCCGACTGAGCGTCCCCTCCCCCCCCCTTCCCGTCCTCCCGCCTGCCCCCCCCGGCGCCAGCCCTGGCACGCCTGCGCTGGCGGCGACGGCGGCGGCGGCGGCTGGCAGCGCCGACGCCCACACCCACGCCCACACCCACGCACAGGCCCACGCCCACGCACGCGCCCACGCCCACGCCCACGCCCACGCCCACGCCCACGCCCACGCCAACGCTCACACGCACGCCTGCGCCCACATCCGCGCCCACACCCACGCCCACGCCCACGCACAGGCCCACGCCCACGCACGCGCCCGCGCCCACGCCCGCGCCCGCGCCCGGGCCCACTCCCGCGCCCAGGCCCAGGCCCAGGTCCACGCCCACGCCCACGCCGGCGCCGGCGCACGCCCGGGAGGGGGGGGGGTCGAATCCCCCCCCCTCCTCTGGAGGGGGGGGGGATTCGAACCCCCCCCCTCCCCCTTGAACTGGGCGGGGAGGAGGGGCCCGCTTCCAGACCCCCTCCCCCGTCCGAGCGCCCACAGAGCGCCCGCGCTTTTTCGAAGCAGAACGCGCAGGGCAGCAACGACGCCACGTGGCCGCAAGCCGCGGCGCGATCGTGGTGGGCCTCGCGTCGTCGCGGTGTTCTGCAGCTGCTGGGAGGCCATGGCCTCGCGCGCCCCGCCCGAGCGGCCCCCTGTGCGCGCGCCTCGCCGCATGTGCTGGCATCGGTGCCTCGCTCGCTCGCCAGCTCGCTTGCTTGGCATCGCTCGGACGTGTGCATTTCAGGAGGGGAAAAAACACAGACACAATTAATCGGCGATTCCCAGAAAATATGGTAAAATATGGGAAGTGGGGGGGAAGACAAAAACCCAGGAAATATGTGAAAATATGGGGAATATTTTTATTTGTGTGTATTTATTTGTGTGTCCCAGTTCCCCTTCAGCATTTTTCTTTCGGCGAGAGCCATCGAGGAGCATCCTGGATCATTTGGCGAAACAGCCACGCACGAAACCGAAAAACCACAGGGAATGGACGTCCGAGCGATGGCCAGCTTGGCCCCTTGCATCAAGGGAGGAAAAAACCGCCCGGGCCGGACAGTTGGCGTTCACTGCACGGCCCGGGGCGTTTGTACTAAACAGCCCTGCCCTGTTCGATTCCTTCAGTGGGGACGCTTAGTGAACGGCTTCGCGTGCCGGGGTGGTTGATTCTGGGGGTGGTCGGGAGCCTTGAGACGGGGGTCAATGCCAACGAGGGTCAGCCAGGGCGTAGATTCTGCAGGATCCTGCAAAGGCCCCCTCTGGCTGACCCGGGTCAGGGAGCCGCTCGTGGCCGCGGGGCGGCCGCGCCTATTGGCTGACCCGGGTCTGCGAAGACCTGCGTTGCAGTTTTTTTTCCTGCATTGCAGTTTTTGGTTTCCTGCTGACCCGGGTCTGGATTGACCCGGGTCAGAAGATCCCCGAGGTGGATGTTCTGCCCTCTCTTGCACACGCCCATGGGGTCGGCGGATCATCTTTGTACCACTCGATGCGTCCAGTCTCGTGTGCCTTGCAAAAAACATGGATATCGAGTCCGATTTCGAGAACGCCGAACTCGACTTCCGAAAAGCACGGCCTCGGCGCCATCCTGCGGTCGGCCTGAGAGAACCGCGTGTTTGGGGAAACCGAGTTCGACTTCTCCAGAACACTCGGTTCTCCCAGGCCGACTTGAGCATATTTGCAGTTCTTTCGTTGTTCTGAACAGTGCCTTTCCGTACGGTAGGTTCGCGTCGTGTCGCGACCCCGCCGCCCGCGTTCAACGTTAAATGCCGCTGGACGCCCAGAATCGGTCGATGTTGAACGATCTGACGTTTCGGGCGCGGCCGATTGTTCAAGATTGAATTGGCCACCGCGGTGTCAGCAGCCAACGCCGAAGTCGGCGGCATGACGCGAACCTGCCGTACTCTTGCTCTTCAGGAGGTACGTGCTTGTCGGCTTCAGTCACCGGGAGGGCGGCTCCGCGGAGGACGAGCATTTCGCCCTCTCTTTCGGAGCCCCCGCCCCGCTGGGAGGGCGTGCGCGCGGCGAAGCTCGGGCGTTTCGTAATGGAGGCGCGGTCAATGCGGGGGCGCGAGCCAGACGCTTTAATGATGCAGGCAGGGATGTCCTGATGACGCAGTATCCGTGCAAGTCCCTGGTGCTTCTTTTTGTTACGGAATTCTGCACATCACAATGCGTATCAGCTTGGGGCCCCCAAGGACCTACTGTGAGGTCCCGTCTTGCCCTATGTTTGGGGCCCCAGGGGCCCGTCTGCCTTGACCGCCCGGCCCTTCTCAACTTTTGACCACCCGGACTTCCGTTTTTTGCCACCTGGCCTTCACTTTTGGGCCACCCGGCTTTTTGTTTGACCACCCGGCCCTTGATCCTTGATGTTTGACCGCCCGGCCCTTGAATTCTGATCTTCGGGCCTTTTGACCGCTTGTGCCTGCGAGCGAGCCGGCGGGCCCCCGCGCTGCATGAGCGAATAGCCCCCGTGCCAGGTCTGCGGCCAAGCTTTCTCGGTCCCTCACGATCCCTCGTCCTCCCCCTTCCTCCCTGCCTACTGTGCGGTCCCGTCCTGTCCTGCGGAGTCCCGCGTTCGGGGCGCCAGGGGCCCTTTCTGCCTTGACCTCCCGGGGTCCTTCTCAACTTTTGACCACCCAGGCTTCCTCCCTACAGTCGGCCCGGATTAACAGGCCGACCCTGCCAAATCAAGGGTACCTGTGTGTCCTGTGTCTCGCGACCCATGCCTCTGGTATTCCTGTGGCAATGTGGCCCTCGGAAGGGTCTCTTGTCCTCTCGCGTGTCCTGTCCAATGAAGTCCGACTGTACTTCTCCCGTCCGCCGAGTTGAGACTGGAGGCGAAGCGGGCCCGGGCCTGGCGCGAAGGCCCCGGGGCGGGTGTGCCTGAGGGCCCACAGCTCCTGGCATCGCTCGGACGTGTGCTTTTTTTCTCGGCGAGGACCATCGAGGAGCGTCTTTGATTCAGGAGGGGAAAAAACACAGACACAATTAATCGTCGATCCCCAGGAAAATATGGGAAAATATGGGAAGTGGTGGGGAAGACAAAAACCCAGAAAATATAGGAAAATATGGGGAATCCTTTTATTTGTGTGTATTTATTTGTGTGTCCCAGTTTCCCTTTATTGATCCTTTGGCGAAAACTCCACGCGCGAAGCCGAAAAAAAAAAAAGCACAGGGAGTGGACGTCCGAGCGAAAGGCCCCGGGGCAGCTCAGAGAGCCCACGGCCGGGGAGCTTGTAGGGGCCCAGGGGCGGCGGCGGTGCAAAGGCCCGGGGCAGGTGGGTGTGTCAGGTCCGGGGGGAGGGGGAGGGGGAGGGGGAGGAGGAGGAGGGGGAGAGGGGAGGAGGGAGGGAGGAGGAGGAGGAGGAGGAGGAGGAGGAGGAGGAGGAGGGAGGAGGAGGAGGAGGAGGAGGAGGAGGAGGAGGAGGAGGAGGAGGAGGAGGAGGAGGAGGAGGAGGAGGAGGAGGAGGAGGAGGAGGAGTTGGGTGTGTAAGGTCCTGGGGCTGGTGATTTGACTCGGCAGCGAGCGAGGGGGGGAAGTGAGAAGGAGAAGGCCTTCTCAGAAGGCGGCGGGACTTCTCAGAAGCCCTCGCGCCTTCTGAGAAGTTTTCCTGTCTTCGGGGAAGGCTTAGAGCACTTCTCAGAAGTCCGGGGGACTTCCGAGACTTCTGAGAAGGCACGCCCCTTCTCACTTCCCCCCGTGGCTCGCCGCCTATTGGGTGATTTTCGGGTCGGGCGAAAGGGGGGGGGATTGGGAAAGGGGGGGTTACGAAATTTGCTGCATGCAGCTGGTTTCGGCCTCACCGAGGGGCCAATTCCTCGATACATGGCCGCTCCCGGCGCCGGGAGGCGCCGGGGAAATCAGCTACGTGAGCTGATTCTCAAACCCCCCCTTTGCTATCCCCCCCTTTCGCCCGACCCGAGATTTGACAGGAGGTTGATGTCAAGCAGTGGCGAAGCGTCTTGGCGTGCCTCATTATGAGCCTACCAGTCGATGCTCCAAGAACCTTTTGTGGATTCCACGAGATGTTCTTAGAACATTTCTGGCAGGGACTGTCGGGTTTCTGTTCTAAGCACATTGTTTTTGTTCTTGGAGCCTTTCTTGGGTTCTAAGAACAGGACTGCCGGGACGGTCGGTCCCTGCTCAATGATGGTCCGAAGGCCCCGAGCTGGAGATTTCAACGTCCAGAGCTGGGGATTTCAGGGCCCAGGGCTCGGGGGTTCCGGGGCCGGGAGCTGGGGACCCGAGGGCCTGGGGCAGCGCACTCGAGAGCCCCGGTGCTGGGCATGCGAAGGCCCAGGTCTGGCGGCATGGTGGCACGGAGCTGGGGACTCAGCTGCAGGTGTGAAGCCCCGGAGTGGGGAAGTTTGGGCTGAGAGTTTCCAGGCCTCCCAGATGGGGTCGGAGCAGGTGGGGTCGGAGCATCGCGCCGCTTCGCCGATGCATCGACGATGTGGCTCGATGTGGAGCCCGTGTTTCCCCACGCCGACGTCGCCGATGCGTCGCTGGCGTCGGCGATGCATCGCCGATGCATCACCGATGCGGCGGGACCCTTCGACCCCATCTGAGCCTATCTAGGAGGCCCCATCTACCCTTCGACCCCTTCGACCCCTTCGACCCTTCGACCCCATCGACCCTTCTAGGAGACCCTTCGACCCCTTCGACCCCTTCGACCCTTCGACCCCATCTAGGAGGCCTCCAGAGCTGGTCATGGCCCCTGAGCTGACGGCTCAAGGGCCCGGAGTCGCGGAGCTGATGATGATGATGATGATGATGATGATGATGATGATGATGATGATGATGATGGTGGTGGTGGTGGTGGTGGTGGTTTGTGGTGGTGATGATGATGATGATGATGGTGGTGGTGGTGATGATGATGATGATGAAGATGGAGATGAAGATGAAGATGAATATGATGATGATGATGATGATGATGATGATGATGATGATGATGATGATGCTGATGCTGATGCTGATGATGATGATGATGATGATGATGATGATGATGATGGTGGTGGTGGTGGTGGTGATGCTGATGATGATGATGATGATGATGATGATGATGATGATGATGATGATGTGATGATGATGATGATGATGATGATGATGATGATGATGATGATGATGATGATGATGATGATGATGAGGATGATGTGATGATGATGAGGAGGATGATGATGATGATGATGAGATGATGATGATGATGAGGAGGAGGAGGAGGAGGAGGAGGAGAGGAGGAGGAGGAGGAGGAGGGGGAAGAGGGGAGGGGATGAGGAGGAGGAGGAGGAGGGGAGGAGGAGGAGGAGGAGGAGGAGGAGGAGGAGGAGGAGCTGGTTCGGAAGCCCGCGGCACCATCCAGGAGCTCCGTTCAGCGTGGTCCTGGCGCCTGCCCCGTGCCTGCGGCGCGGCAGCACGCTGAGCGTCACGCTGGCTTGGGTGGGCTGCGCGGACGACGAATTCACCGTGCACGTGCGCACGGACGCCGCGGGGCGGGTGATTTGCTGGCGGCGTCTGTGAGGGCGGAGTGAGAGAGAGAGAGAGAGAGAGAGAGAGAAGGAGAGTGCTGGACGCGGCGCCCGCGCAGTGCCGGCCCTGCGGCCCCGCGCGGAGCAGGGCGGCGGTGGGCCAGGCGGCGGCGGCGGGTAGCCTGCTCCCTCTTCCTCCCCCTCCTTCCTCATTTGTGTATGTGTTTTGATGGATTCATGGTGGAACTGCGAGAGAGAGAGAGAGAGAGGAAGAGAGGAACAATGAACACAGAAAGGCAGGGATAGCCAGCAATACATAGAGAGAGAGAGAGAGAGAACAAGAGAGAGAGATAGAGACTCGGTTACCTCGCCTAGCCTGGTGGATCCCGCCATCCCATTCCGCACCCGTTCCGGGCCACGAGTGCGAGCTTGCACTGTTGCGTTCCCTTCCCAGCCCCGTTGGTTTGGGGTAGCAGAGGTCCGTGCGCGGGCAAGAAATTTGACAATCAAGACGATGATGAAGAGGAGGAGGGGGAGGAGGAAGAGGAGGAGAAGCAGCAACAGGAGCAGACACAGAAGGGGGGTGCTATTGATTTTGCTGCTGCTGATGATGATGATTATGATGATGATGGCGATGCTGCTTTTGATGATGATGGTGATGATGATGATAATGCGCATGGTACTGGTCATGATGATGCTGATGATGATGATGCTGATGCTGCTGATGATGATGTTAATGCTGATGCGGATGCGGATGTTGATGATGATGCAGACGGCGGTGGTGGTGGTGGATGATGATGGATGATGGTGATGATGATGATGACGATGATGATGATGATGATGATGATGATGATGATGATGATGATGATGAGTAAGAGGATGATGATGCTGGTGATGGTGGTGGTAATGATGATGACGATGAGGAGGAACCGCAGCAGCAGGAGCAGCAACATCATGGGATGCTGATGCTGGTGATGCTGGTGATGCTTATGATGTTGCTGATTATGGTGATGATGTTGGTGACGTTGATGATGATGATGATGATGATGATGAGGATGACGGTAACAGTGATCGCGATGGTGATCATAGTGGCGGGGATGATGATGATGATGATGATGATGATGATGATGATGATGGTGACGATGCTTATGATGAAGGCAGTGATGATGGTAATGATGAGTATATGATGATGCTTATGATGATGCTGGTGATGATGCGGCAGATGAGTCTTCTGATGACGATTTAGCTGATGATGGTGATGATGATGGATGGTGGTGCTGCTGGTGATGTTTGTGCTGATGATGATGATGCTGATGATGACGATGATGCTAATGCTGTTGCAGATGATGATGCTGATGATGTTGATGCGGATGCTGATGCCGTTGATGATGATGCTGATGGTGATGGTGCTGCTGATGATGCTGCTGATGTCGATGGGGAGGCTGGCGCTGCTGATGATGATGGTGCTGCTGACGATGCGGATCATGATGGATGGTGATGATGATGCTGCTGACGACGATGATGTCGATGTTGATGATGCCAATGTCGATGCGGATGCGGATGTTGGTGACGATGCTGACGGTGGTGGTGATGGTGGATGATGATGGATGACGGTGATGATGATGATGAGGAGGAAGAGGATGGTGATGCTGCTGATGGTGGTGGTAATGCTGGTGACGAGGAGGAGGAGCAGCAGCATCAGGAGCAGCAACATCAGGGGATGCTGATGCCGATGATGTTCATGGTGCTTATGATGCTGCCGATTACGGTGATGATGATGGTGGCGTTGATGATGATGATGAACATGTTGAGGATGATGATGGTGATGATGATGATGATGATGATGATGCTGGTGTTGATGTTGATGATGATGATGGTAACAGTGATCGTGATGGTGGTCCTAGTGACGGGGATGGTGTTGATGATGCTGAGGATGACGATGCTTATGATGATGACAGAAATGATGATAATGATGAAAAGCTGATCATGCTGATGATGATGTTGGTGGTGATGATGCTGATGAATAATATGATGACGATTCTGCTGATCATGGTGATGATAATGGATGGTGATGCTGTTGGTGACGTTTGTGTTGATGATGACGAGGATGCTAATGCTGCTGCTGATGATGATGCTGATGATGTTGATGCGGATGCTGATGCCGTTGATGATGATGCTGATGGTGATGGTGCTGCTGATGATGCTGCTGATGTCGATGGGGAGGCTGATGCTGCTGATGATGATGGTGCTGCTGACGATGCGGATGATGATGGATGGTGATGATGATGTTGCTGATGCTGATGATGATGATGGATGAAAGGATGGTGATGCTGATGATGTCAATGCTGATGTTGATGATGATGATGATGATGATACGGCTTTTCGTTCTGATGCGGATGTTGATGCTGCTCTGATGATGGTGGTGCTGATTATGATTGATTATGATGGCTGGTGATACTGATCATGCTAATGATGAGGATGATGCTGATGAGGCTGATGGTGGTGATGATGATGGTGCTGAAGCTGATGCTGTTGAGGATGATTTTGTTGTTGATGATGAGGATGGTGACGATGCTGATGATGATGTAGATGCTGATGGTGATGCTGCTGCTGATGTCGATTTTGGCAATGGCGCTGATGATGATGATGATGTTGATGATGATGATGGTGCTGATGACGATGATGGTGATGGTGATGGTGATGGTGATGATGATGGTGATGGTGATAGTGATGATGATGGTGATGATGATGATGATCATGATGATGATGACGATGATAATGCGACCGACGACGACGACCACGACCGCGATCGATGACGATGGCGACCGACCGACCGAGCGATTGACGACGACGACGACCGACCGACCGAGCGATCGATGACGACGACGACGACGTCGACCGACGGCGACGACCGACAAACATCGACAACGGCAACGACCACCTACCGACCGACCGACCGACCCACAGCGACTGAACGACGAGTACGATAACCGGCGGACCACGACAGACTCACCGACCAACAGCGGCTGATGACGACGACGAAGACATCGACGGACGGACCGACCGACCGACAGACGACCGACGACAACGACTGACGCCGTCGTAAAGATCGGGTGGGCTAAACCTAAAAAGCCGACCGCGACCGGCCGAGGTCAAATTCTACAACGCTGCTTGCGCATTTGGTCAAAGGTGCTGTCGAGGTCCAGCACTTTGGGCTCGAAGGGCTGACGGTGCCACTCCTCCTCGCGGCACCTTCGCCTGCAGAGCGGCGAAGGGCATGTCGTGGATGTCCGTGTTCTCGGACGCCTCCTGCGTGGTGGCGTGTGCCGCCATCGCACGTTGCGCCTCGAGCTGCTGGAACTCCTCCTTGGCGTCGGTGAGCTTCTTGAGTTTCGTCTTGTGCTCCTCGTCGGCGGTGGCGATCTTTTCGGCGATACAGTCGGCGTGCGCCTCGAAGCCTTCGATCTTGTTGCGAGGGGGGATGTATTGACATGATTTGACCCTTGAGCGATTGTGCTTTCTGGTCGAGGCTCTTGCCATGGAGCGCTGCCATCTTCGCCTGCTTGAGCGAAACGAGGGCGTCGTTGTCTTCCTTGGCCTGGACCCCGACCCACTTCTTTCAGAACATTACTTTGGTCCGGGCCAGTGCGACAGGGTCCTGCTTTTCGTCATGAGCTGATGGGGCTGCGGCTGAGTTGTCGTCGGCGTCGGCTGTGGCAATGCTGTTCTCGAACATGACGCGCTGAGCACGTCCACCTACATCACGACCTCTGCCTGTGCGGAACGCCAAAAGGACGGACGGCCTCCTCCTGCTTGGTCGTACTTTTTGCTGCTGAGTTGGGTGCCGTGCCTGTGACGTCTAGCGGCCACGAGCCCCCATCGCGAGAGTCTGCCGTCTGTGGCAGAGGCGGCGGAGAGACGGATAATTTTGTTCTCCGAATCGTCTCGAATTGTTGACGCTTCGCGTATCCCCACCAGCCCATCCAGAAACGATGCTCAGGGGAGTTGAGGTGATCAGGGAAGTCGGGGAGCATGCAGAATAACAAAGGGCGGGGGAAGCTGTCACAGACCCCGAGAGGGGGAGGATGGAAGAGGAGTCGTCGTCGTCGTCGTCGTCGTCGGAGGAGGAGGAGGAGGAGGAGGGGGAAGAGGAGGAGGAGGAGGAGGAGGAGGAGGACGGAGAAGGAGGAAGAATAGGAGGAGGAGGAGGAGGAGGAGGGGAAGGAGCTTCTTGGGGGTCTTTTGAGGGCCTCTTGGAGGG